TATATATATATATACATATATACACACAATATATATATATATATATATATATATACGCCCATGCACACATCTGTTAATTTGTAATATTAGAACCTATAGTGTGACGAATAATATCTGATATCGATCAATTGGAATCTTCCATACGCAGACAGTGAAAGAGAAATATACCGAAATGATGGTATACCAACCCATCCCAATCTGCCCACGTGGAGTGTGGGCCTATATCACGGCGTCAGACTCAACCTTTTCCATACGATGAATAGACTAGCGGTCACATACCAGCGTGCAAGGTATTATACACACATACATAGCGCTTCAACTCTGCCAACGAGTTCACACACATAAGTCACGACACCACTGCACAATAAACTCAGGCCCATACCAAGGTATCGAACTCTGCCTTCTCCATCGGATGTGTGGGCTTGGGGTCGCATATCCGCGTGCCGGGCTTCTCCAGGGCCTGCATAGCCAGCGACGAACTGAACGTCTTAAACTGGAAAGACAACAGACTGCAGAAACGCCGTCTGAAGTCCGCCGTGTAGGTATGCAACCACCCCTCTGGCACAGACGTCTCGAGATCCTCATTGGCCAGGGCCTTCAGCATGATGCACGAGTGCTCGCCGGTCAACTCGTTGCTGGTCTGGCGCACATATACCGGTTCAAAGCGGGACCGTTTCCAGAACTTGAGTAGTGTATCGGTCAGCCCGTACGCCACGCCCATCCAGTGCAGCCTCTCGGCCGGACGCTCGGAAAGCGTTGATAGAAGCGGTGGTAGGTCTGTGCGAGACTTAACGTTTTCGCTGAGAAGGTCGTCTGCGGTGTCATCGTCTCCCGCTACTCGGCTGAACATACCCTCTGCGTAATACGTATAGTGTAGACGTATGGGGATACGTACAATGTAGAGATATGAAATAAATACAGAGTAGAGATACTATGTAGATATATTAGAATATGTACAATATACATGTATGCGAATGCGTACAAAACACAGATGTGCGAATTTGTACAGTACAGATATACGTTACACGTACAATGCAGATACATGTGATTGCATGGAATGTAAACGTATTAAAGGCTACGGATGAACATACCGTCTGGGAATACACATCAAATAGATATATGTGGATACGTACAATAAGTATGTGTGAATGCGTACATCGTAGCTACATGTGACCGGGTACAATTTTTATGTTAAGTTTATATAGGTAACGTACAATATTACATAAATGGAAATGCAAATAATATAGATAAATGTGAACACGTGAACTATACATAGTTATAAATATAACGGCATCCATTATAGACATATGTGACTACGTACAATTGACATAAGTGTGAATGCATATAATATAAATATACAATGTACCATGCCACCTACCGGTTATAGGATTATCAGATGTGCAGGGGATATTCCCAGAGAAGTACTCTCCCAATAGGTCGATGGCCCGAGAGCCGTACCCCATTTTCTGATACGACGGGTGGGTAGCTATGCGCACGATACGGGCACCGGAAAGTGATGCGAAATCTTTATCCTGTAGACCATGGTAACGTTATGGGGTTAAAGCACAACACAGATAAATCACCATGACAACGTGATAGACCTAGAGCAATACACGGATGCCTCTATGCGCACGATGCGGGAACCAGAAAGTGAGGCAAGATCTTTATCCTGCAAACCATGGTAATGTAATGGAACGTAAATAACTTATGTATATGTATAGGTACACAACCTACCTGGAACTGTTGTGTGAGCGTCCAGGGGATGAGATCACCCGCCGCCGTCTTACCCCGAGCCAAACTGGCGTACACACTCTCCTTGGATATCTCTCCCTCCAGACACACCTGCACCACACACAACACCTCTGGCAAGTTATTCTTAGTAGGGTCTACCGGCCCAAGCAGACAGAACAGACGGTGCGAAGGCGCATCGGATAGCAGTTGAAGGTCGTTGGGAGAGTTCTTGTAGTGACTGGCGACGTAGAGGGCCATGAGCTTCTGCAGGAAAGCCTCACTGGCCTTGTGGTGCGAGAACAGCGTGTCCTGCGAGGTGGGTTGAACCAAGATATAAAAGGAGAAGGAGTGTTGAGACAATCAGAATATACTACAGATACCACTACATGTGCTATACAGATATGTGGTGTGCCTGCTCTTAGGGGGTGGGAAGAGAGGTGTGCTGATTGGTGTTCAGATAATTCAGAACAAAGGCTCCAACCATGCAGCACAAATCATCATACCCCGAGTACTGCAACAGATCTTGCAATCGATTTAGGGTTCCAGCTAAAACCATAGATACTCTACAACCCTAAACACCATCACACACTATTGCTCGAGCAAGAATATATATCACGTACCCTATTGATATAGTACAATTCACACTTGGACGGATGCGGGCAGCCTCCGCCGGGAGGTGAATCATCCAGGTTGGCATCCAGGCATAGCAAATCATACAGCCATCGCTCAATGGGATCATTCTCCGCATATCTGATGGGTTCCTCGAGTGCCAACTCTTTTAGCACACGGCTGCCTGTGGCGCTAGTGGTATCCGTATCGCCACCGGCCGCTGTGTGTACTACACCCGGTCCACCTGTTGTGTATATTGATGCATATGCATATGTTAATATGTGATTGGATTATCCGATAGAGCATATATATATATATATGAGTGTGTGTGTGTGTGTCGATGTATACACGAATATAGATATATTATATAATGATGTATTAAACAAAGAAGACCAGATACATTACCATAACATACCAGTAGATTGGTTGCGCAGCTGTTTGATGAGCTTGAGCGATAGCGACCTGCCGGTGCCTTCGTACCCATTGATAGTACTGCTCATAAACACAAGGTAGTTGCCTAGCAACGAGCGGACTAGAGGAAGAGGGATAGCAGCGGCTTCATCGATCACAAGTAGCTCCGCCTGGCCCAGTTTTTTGGCGTCGTGGGGCGAGATGTATTGGATGGTCTGTCTGTGCTGTCGGAAGATATTGACTCGAACAATGGCCTGTGTGGGAAGAGATCAGGTATTGTACACAGTCTTGTACGTGAGCAAGTACATTGTATATATATATATATATATATAAATAATTATACATATATATAGATGTGTGTGCTTGTGTGTATGTGGGTTGGTGTATATATATACAACGATATATATAGTTAAGTGTGCGGGTGTGAAAAGAGTATATAAATATATACGTGTGGGTTGCGCGTATGATATCATAGATGTTTCTACATCTGTACACAATAGCCACTGGGGAGGAATCTCGACAACATCACATACATCTCTGGCGGTTTAGACCCACCTACACTGGACAGGAAATAGATTGCATAATCCCAGGGGTGCAGATCTCCCTATTCTAGATCTACCTACCTTGTTGAAAGCGGGATTGCTGCTCTCCACTAAATCGTAGTCCAAATGTTCCTCATACTCCAACTTATCAAATCCTTTGAATACGAATTCAAAGACTGTCTTCAGATTCTCGGGCGTAGGAGATGTGACAAAGATGTTCGAGTAGCTGTGGGTGCAAAATTCGAAAGGGACAATTAATACCAAAACATATACGTATATATATATATATATATATCTCTGTATGTATGTACACATATAAATATACTTGTTTATATATAAATATACTTATTTACATATATATATATATATATTCTGTGTACATTTATATATATATATATATATATATAGATGTATATATATATACATAAATATATAAATAATATATGTGTATATCTATATATATATAAATATATTATACACATTATATATAAACATACCCATATGCAACAGCAGCCGCAATACCGAGACCCAGTGCAGCACTCTTTCCGCGACCTCTGGCAGCGGTCAATGTCACTGTGGTGCGCAGTGTCTTTTCACTGATAGCCTCGACAAAGGTCAAGAGAGCCTTCGCTTGATCAAGTGTATACGCCTATAGTTGTACATAAGAATATGTGTACATGAGAACGTATGTATTATTGCAATGCAATGCAATGCTAATATATATATATATATGTATATATATATATAATATATGTAGGTTTATGTATATTCATATATAAATATATATTCATATATATGTGCCTCAAGAATATATATGAAGGGGTTTAAGATTGGGAGCACTGGCAGCGGTTAATGCTCTAAAACAAAGGTCACGATAGCCTTTGCTTTATCGACAGTATATGAATGTAGGATTATATAGAGATGTGTGCATTTACAAGTTGTCATGGCTGTAGATGAATGGGTTCATATAGTCGTAAGCCAGGTACCATGACGGCTGTAGAGTGTAAGGACTATATATACACAAAGGGAAGATATGAGTGCAACAACACGAATCCTAAAAAAGAGTATGCGCCATCCATATTCAGCTTGACCCTTATTTACTTATAGCCACAAGAAGGTCATATATTGATTAAATTCATATCCTCATATCAGCATGTGAGAGTATGATTAGGAACTAGCACTGCTACAATAGATCTTGACGTCAAAATGTGGGAGTAGAGGGCGCACACCCAGTCCGCTACTGTACCGATAAGGTGGGTGTCTCGCATCGAGCTCTATAGCCCAACAACTCGTCAGCAGAATCTACAGGCATATCACAGCCAGTCGTCATAAATAAACACCCACACATACATATACATGTCTATACCTACAGCAACAGTGGTAGGTAGATCCTGATATCCAAGACAGGAAAGTGCAGTGATGCGCAGGCGCACACGCCAAACATACCTGGTCCACTAACGTTCCCACAGGCTGGGTATCTCTCAGAGAGCTCTTCAGTTCATTTAACTCAAGCATGCTCGGCGTCAGCTCCTTCTTTGTATTCTGCACAGTGGTCATGGTACGCGAATGCGACGAGATGGGCAGCACATTCAACTCGTCGTCGAGTAGCAAACTGGGTTTTTAGGGTTTTTAGGTTTAGCATTTAAGGTTGAGATTAAGATTAAACTGAAAAAAATGAAAACCAGTTGAATGTTGCTTTGTAAACTTCCACGTCGAACAATTTTTTTTTTGGTACATGATAATTTCCACTGGCAGCTCTCATCGCATTCAAGCCACACTTCCCGTATGCATAGCCTCCCGATATGAATCACCTACAAACATACATACATACTTGCAATGTATA